CCGTGCCGGTTTCTCTCTCCCCTTTCCCAGCCATCAAAGTCCCCCTGACCTCTCCCCAAGGACACCCTGTGTTTTCCCCTGGGCGCTCCTAACAGATCTCGCCTTGCCAAGTGCTGCTTGGGTCTAAGCATACAAATGGGCTAGAAAACAGCTTTTCCTGAAGGGATTAACGTAATCAGGGCTAAGCCCCGAAAGCCAATTAAGAGGAGAAGGGTCTGTAAGCGAGGGCTGTGAGGCAGGGGCAGCATGAAAGGCATCGGGGCAGGGTGGCCCTTGCGCCGCTGCCCGGGCAGGGCAGACCCTCGGTGGGTTCGGTGCCGTCTCCGGCCCCAAGCGATGCGGGAACGCGTCTCCCTGTTTTCTTGTCCTGGCTGTAGCTGCTGTGTGGGTCCCTGCCGGGCTGGCGGGGGGCTGTAAGTGCCGTTATGAACGGCCCCTTTTCCCGGCGTCCTTCGGAGGGGTCCCACCGCGCTGCCGAGCGCTCAGTCAATGATTTAACGCGCCGCTTGGGTTTTTAAAGCTGCTGGATCTCACGCTGCCAGCCTCTCCTGTGGAGAGATGCCTCCGCAAAGCCGGGTCTGCCCGTCAGATCTGCCTGTGCTTTCCAGAAAGTCGTTTCTTTTCCTTACGCTTGCAGGAGCGTGTGTAACCCTCACCCTCTGCCGCCCCCCCAGCTTCTCATTCCTCATCGGGATGATGAAGCTCTTATTGTCGCCAAATGTTTTATTTGCTTGTACGTATGCGCCCTCCAGTCCGCCGTGCGAGTCGGGCTCCCCGCTGAGAACGTCCCCCACTGGGGCATCCCTGCGGCGGCCCCCTACAAGCAGGGCCTAATTTGGGGAGGGATCGGGTGCAAGAGCAGCAGCGCTGGCACTGACCCACGGGCAGGGTTTGCAGGGGTTTGCCGCGCATTTCGCAGGGCTGGAAGGAAATCGGTGCTCGTGCAGGAAGGAAATCGGTGCTCGTGCAGGAAGGAAATCACGCTCACACCGGTGCAGCCGCCAGGGCGAAGCGCAGCCCTTGCTGCGGCAGAGCCAGCCGCGAGCACAGAGGCGTTGCTGGCTCTTCCCGAGCCCCACGAGGCAAAAGGAAAGGAAGGAGGAGTGGATGGAAATGAATGTTAAAAATCTCAGCATGTGGCACGTTTGAGATACATCTGAATGCTGTTTCGAGGAAAATGAGACATGGTCTGAAGTCAATACGATTGACATAGAAATGACCTTAAAAATTCATCTTATTTTAATGAACGTGATGTGGGCGAGGCTTTTTGACCTGCGGTTGTGCGTGCCTTCCCTAGCTCCACAGGAGACGCTCACCTCTGCTGCTGGCACTCCAGAGGGCATTTTTCATTCCAGAGAGAGGTTTTTTGGTAAATTATTAGTCCAGACTCTCTTATTGATAACACAACCTGATGCTAACCAGAGGTGTTCTGCTCTGGCTTGGCTGAGGCTCCCGTGATGTGACACAAAGCCCGAGCACGCAGAATGTGATCCAAAGCAGCGGCAGCACCTCGGGGCAGGGGAGCACATCCCCGTGCACGGCGCTGCAGCTGCAGAAGAGGTGGGAGGGAGCCGGGATGGGGACGGGTGGGAGGTGGCCGGGTTGCTGGGGGCGATGCGTGGAGATGCGTGGACGTGGATGTCGGTGTCAGTGAAGACAAGAGCGGTGGTGGGCCAGGGCACATCAAGGCTTGCGTGTCTCCGAGTCCCACGTAAAGGCTTGTGGTACAGAAAACACAAGCAGCCAGGCAAGAGGCAGCAGTAACCAGCACCGGTAACAGCCGTGACTGCTGTACACGTCAGCTAGGACTCTCGAAAAGCTGGAGTAATAAAAAATAAATAAAGGAAACATTCCAGACTGCTGCAAACTCCCCAAATTGCGCTCCTGACTTTAACACCCCATCTGCCAGCTGATGCTAAAAAATTAATTTAGTGGAGCTGATGACAAAACGCCTGCCTGGAGCACAGCATCAGCTGGATGTGCCCCGCAGCGCGGCATGCCGGGGCCGGGTTTGGAAGAGCAAGAACAAAAGCGTGCGGTTTGATGCGAGGTTGAACTTCAGGTCAGCTGGAAGGCGTCCCAGCAGCTGGCCGAGGCTCCGCAGCACAGGAGGGGTTCGTTGGAAGGTGTTTCACCTTGGTGAGATCCTCTTGTGTCTTCTCTGGCGGCTGGCTAAGAGGCACCGTTATAGTTATTTTGGGAAATGGGTTTGATACGGGCTTTTCTCTGGTTTGATGGCATATCCTTCCCAAGAGACTGCTGCCTTTCATTGCAGGGACCATAATCAGATTCTTCATGTATTAGTAATTACCTAGGAAGGAGCTATAAATATAATGAAAACGCCGATGCTTCCTAAAGGTACCAGTAGTCACTTTCAGGGAAATTAATTATCTGTGAAAATCAGATCAAATAAATAACGTCCTGGAATACCTGATATAATTCATACTTTTAGAGAGTTTAAGACTAGGGAAGAGCACTAGATCATCTACCCCCACCTTATTTCTAATGCGGGCCTTCAAGTTTCACCCCGTCGCGCGTCTGCGGAGCCACGGCTCTTGCCCGGTTGGCCGAAGACTGACTGGTGTTTGGGCTGGGGTCCCCTCCCAGCCCCGGAGAGCTCCCCCCTTCCCTGGGCAGGGCATCCGCCTGGTGTAAGGACGTCCATCTCTCTTTGCCCTAACCCTCCTTCTGTCTGTCACCTGGGTTTGCAGAGCTGCCCAGGAGTGGAGCAGAGTCCCCGGGGGCGTCACAGCCCAGAGAACCGATGGGAAAAGCCACTCGGTGCATGGGGTTGGCTGTGCTGCTTGCTCCTGGGTCTCACCTTTCTGGAAAGGGAATGAAGGACCTAGCTGCTTTTGTCTAAATTAGGGTCCAGTCTCTGTTGCAACTTGACATCTTCATTTAATTTTGTTTGCCGTATACGTGTAGAGGAGAATGATAATGTGGTATAGTAATGATCGTTCGTGAGACAGTCACTTGTTCAAAATATTACTCCCGTTTAATCAGTGCAGTCGAGTGATTTATTGACGTGCATAACCAATCTTGCCTGGCGTTTGACTGTAATTAAAACAACCATGTTCCCAGAGTCCATCTGCAGACAATAAATTGTAAGGAACCATGTCAGGGCAACATTAATACCGACATTTAGCAGGCATGAGGGTCGCATCCCCCCGGGCTGGGGCTCATCCTCTTCCCACTGGCGAGGGTGGGAGCTCGGGCAGGAGCTAGAGCTCGGGCACCGGTGAGTCCCCGGGGGCTGCAGGAACGACCCCGGGCACCACGGCCGTGTCCAGGCACGCTCAGGGCTTGCACGAGCGCTCTGGAGGGATGAGGCTGCGGTTTTTGCACATGGAGTTGCCTGATTCCACCTCAATTCACAGAGGGAGGGCAACGCGAGGAGGAACTTGGTGATGCTCAGTCTGGACCAGAGCAGACCCCAAAACCAGGGCAGCGGCGGAGAAACCCAAGTGAGCCGCTCGCTTCGTCCCAGGCCTTGGTGGGAGCTGTGAATTCAGAGGCTCGGGGGCAGGAGGCGACGATGACGGAAGGGTTTGCCATACAACGAGTAGATCTGATTCTGCGGGCTGAGCTGTGAGGAGCGCGAAGGCGAAGGCTGTGCTCCGTCCCCCGCCCCCCTTCCCCAGCGACGCCCGCCCGGGCTCTCCTGATGGCCCCCCCCAACCCGCCGTGTCGTCTTGTCCCAGACCCGCTGGTAATTTCACTTTGTTAGCACGGGGTTTGTGAAAATTGGTTTCTTTTTCTCAAGTCAAATTCCAACACTCAAAACTCAGAATTATTCTAGAAAAAAAAAAATGTAGTGGAAGATGTCAGCTTGTCGTTGAGAAAAGAACAACTGTCAAAACCCAAAGATTTCCTGCCAAAAGCCACTGAAAAATGTTGGCTGAAAACTGCAGAGAGAGAGAAGCCGGTCCAGAAGAGCCAGTTTGGGTGTTGTCAGCCTTTCTTTTGACAAAAATTCTAAATATTTTGAAGAAAGGGGACAGCTTCCAGGAATTTCTGTTTTCAGCAGTCCCATTTTCTGGGAGTTCTGACCCAGAATTCCCAGCTGGGAGCCATGCCGGTGCCCGGACCTGCGAGAGCCGTGCGGGAGAAGATCCCCCCTGGTTTCAGCAGAGCTCGGCTGCCCCCCGCCGCCGGGACGCAGCCCCCGGGCCCCGAGGAAGGGCAGGTTTGCTGGGCAGTTCGAGAGGAGGGTCATCAGCTCCGCTCCTATTTCTGGTTTTTTACTGGTATGATTTAATTTACCCAGCGCTGAATGTCAAGCGTTGGGAAAAAACGAAGCCTTGAGTCTGGGTTTGGCCTGAGCCTCTCCTAGCCTAGCGATGCCAATGCCGAGTGCCGTACGCAGCCCGCGCGCGCGTCGATGGGCATACGCTCAGGCACAAACGCGCGCTCCGCCGTGTCAGCGCGGGGGGGAGCAACCTGGGCAGCGGCTTCGGCTCAGCCCGTGGGTTGGGCTGCGGCTGCCCGGGAGGATGCTCAGAGCTGCTACCCGGCATCAGCACCTCGGTCCCAGCCAGGGAGGAGGGGTATGGGGGAGGTAAATGGGGTCCTGCTGGGGAAATGGAAAGCAAAAAGCAGCTGCCTGCAGTGACACTGGCAGCCTGAGGCAGTCAGCTGGGAGAGGGCTGGGGGCACGGCAGGGAAAGGGCACGAGGTGCTGCAGGGCGCAGCAAATCATCTGGATGACACTCGACTCTCACCCGAGGCTCTTACCCGTGTGCTGAAGTGTTGTGATGCTGTTAAAATGCTGGGAGAGGGCTTAGCGCCCTCCCCTGCCTTTGCTGCTTCACGCGGGGCTGCTTGAGCCGTAGCGGTGCGGGGCCGGCGCGGTGCAGGATGAGATCCCGGTGCCCGGCATATCCCACCCCACGCG